GCATGCACGAGTGCCATCCATGGTCACAGCCAACAACCAAAACCTCACCGATCTACTCAACCGATGCTAGTCGTTGAATAGCTGCTTTTTGCGGTGATAGCTAGTGTTTCTAGGGTTTTTAGGGTCCTTGAAACCCTAAACGCCTAGAAAAGGCTACACACGGCTGACTGCAGCATTTCATGCATTACGAGTACGTGTCCAACGGCAGGGACCAGCAACAGGCACAAGCAAGGGATGAATAATTCCATGCTGCCGCCTTCGTGTTGCTGCTGTGCTGTCCCGGCATGCATGTTCTGGCTAGCTACGACCAAATACCCCATGTACACATGCACCAACGTGTACACGTACACACACATACATACACGCACACGTACACACCAGGATGGATCATGTTATGAAAAAGCCAGAGCGGATATGTCCCGCGCAAGAGCGATGTGCTGCTCATGTCGAGTTTTGATCTCGAGACCTCCCGCTTACTAAACGGGTGCTCTTCCACTGAGCTACACGAGCGGTTGTGGGTGGAGGGTGTCAAACCCTCGACCTTAGGATAGTCCAAGTCACAGCACGATAACAGCTATGAGACCTACGCGCTAACCACTGCGCCACACCCACACAGACATGCAGCTTCGCGCGTGGCAAGAATTTGCCGTACACCGTACACCGTACACGTACAAATCGTACAGGACGTGCGTACACACGCACCCCCGACGATTGGGCCAAATACGTATACACCACATCTACAGCCAACGCATGCCCGCCTCATTAGCTCTTTATTTTTCCCGGGCATGTGGCCAGGAAGTGTATATCTGTGTGACCATACATATCTGTGTGACCATACACATCTGTGTGACCATGCATATCTGTGTGACCATACATACCTGCTTGCCGATNGCGCGACGTGACGCGCAATCTGTGGTGGTGTAAGGGGACTTCAACAAGTATGAATGTAAATGCCTGGCTGATTATAATCACTCGCCTGGCTGATTCCTTGTGGCTTGTGGCTTTTGGGTGGTGGGTGCTATCCTTACGCAGCCTTGGCTTGAACGAAAGCACATGTACGAGAGGGATGCAGCACAATGATTCTGATGGCAACGTTTCGCTGGCTGCTGATGCAGCAGCCGCTAGCATGGCCACGACAACAATGAACTGGGGGCTGGTCCAGGCATGTGCAGCGGCGGCAGCACTGGTGGCAATAAAATTCACCCCTGTTAGGCCCGGATGTCGGCACCCACTTGCATCTCACTGGCCACTAGTCGGTCGCTTCACGTTGCACCTGGCAGCAGTCTTGGATATTGGCACGTCAATGCGGTTGTGATTGGCTGCTTGCTGCGTGCATGTATTTGGTTATGTACGTGTCCTGTTAGGCTCTGGTTTAGGTGGAGGCAACCGTTCCCCTGTCGGCTACATGTGCTACATATTTGTAGTGTTCGTCGCGCTGTGTCTCTCAGAAAATGCAGATCCTGCATGCACGAGTGCCATCCATGGTCACAGCCAACAACCAAAACCTCACCGATCTACTCAACCGATGCTAGTCGTTGAATAGCTGCTTTTTGCGGTGATAGCTAGTGTTTCTAGGGTTTTTAGGGTCCTTGAAACCCTAAACGCCTAGAAAAGGCTACACACGGCTGACTGCAGCATTTCGTGCATTATTCGTGCATGTATTTGGTTATGTACGTGTCCTGTTAGGCTCTGGTTTAGGTGGAGGCAACCGTTCCCCTGTCGGCTACATGTGCTACATATTTGTAGTGTTCGTCGCGCTGTGTCTCTCAGAAAATGCAGATCCTGCATGCACGAGTGCCATCCATGGTCACAGCCAACAACCAAAACCTCACCGATCTACTCAACCGATGCTAGTCGTTGAATAGCTGCTTTTTGCGGTGATAGCTAGTGTTTCTAGGGTTTTTAGGGTCCTTGAAACCCTAAACGCCTAGAAAAGGCTACACACGGCTGACTGCAGCATTTCGTGTATTACGAGTACGTGTCCAACGGCAGGGACCAGCAACAGGCACAAGCAAGGGATATGTCCCGCGCAAGAGCGATGTGCTGCTCATGTCGAGTTTTGATCTCGAGACCTCCCGCTTACTAAACGGGTGCTCTTCCACTGAGCTACACGAGCGGTTGTGGGTGGAGGGTGTCGAACCCTCGACCTTAGGATAGTCCAAGTCACAGCACGATAACAGCTTTGAGATCTACGCGCTAACCACTGCGCCACACCCACACAGACATGCAGCTTCGCGCGTGCCAAGAATTTGCCGTACACCGTACACCGTACACGTACAAATCGTACAGGACGTGCGTACACACGCACCCCCGACGATTGGGCCAAATACGTATACACCACATCTACAGCCAACGCATGCCCGCCTCATTAGCTCTTTATTTTTCCCGGGCATGTGGCCAGGAAGTGTATATCTGTGTGACCATACATATCTGTGTGACCATACACATCTGTGTGACCATGCATATCTGTGTGACCATACATACCTGCTTGCCGATAGCGCGACGTGACGCGCAATCTGTGGTGGTGTAAGGGGACTTCAACAAGTATGAATGTAAATGCCTGGCTGATTATAATCACTCGCCTGGGCTGATTCCTTGTGGCTTGTGGCTTTTGGGTGGTGGGTGCTATCCTTACGCAGCCTTGGCTTGAACGAAAGCACATGTACGAGAGGGATGCAGCACAATGATTCTGATGGCAACGTTTCGCTGGCTGCTGGTGCAGCAGCCGCTAGCATGGCCACGACAACAATGAACTGGGGGCTGGTCCAGGCATGTGCAGCGGCGGCAGCACTGGTGGCAATAAAATTCACCCCTGTTAGGCCCGGATGTCGGCACCCACTTGCATCTCACTGGCCACTAGTCGGTCGCTTCACGTTGCACCTGGCAGCAGTCTTGGATATTGGCACGTCAATGCGGTTGTGATTTCGTGCTTATTCGTGCATGTATTTGGTTATGTACGTGTCCTGTTAGGCTCTGGTTTAGGTGGAGGCAACCGTTCCCCTGTCGGCTACATGTGCTACATATTTGTAGTGTTCGTCGCGCTGTGTCTCTCAGAAAATGCAGATCCTGCATGCACGAGTGCCATCCATGGTCACAGCCAACAACCAAAACCTCACCGATCTACTCAACCGATGCTAGTCGTTGAATAGCTGCTTTTTGCGGTGATAGCTAGTGTTTCTAGGGTTTTTAGGGTCCTTGAAACCCTAAACGCCTAGAAAAGGCTACACACGGCTGACTGCAGCATTTCGTGTATTACGAGTACGTGTCCAACGGCAGGGACCAGCAACAGGCACAAGCAAGGGATATGTCCCGCGCAAGAGCGATGTGCTGCTCATGTCGAGTTTTGATCTCGAGACCTCCCGCTTACTAAACGGGTGCTCTTCCACTGAGCTACACGAGCGGTTGTGGGTGGAGGGTGTCGAACCCTCGACCTTAGGATAGTCCAAGTCACAGCACGATAACAGCTATGAGACCTACGCGCTAACCACTGCGCCACACCCACACAGACATGCAGCTTCGCGCGTGCCAAGAATTTGCCGTACACCGTACACCGTACACGTACAAATCGTACAGGACGTGCGTACACACGCACCCCCGACGATTGGGCCAAATACGTATACACCACATCTACAGCCAACGCATGCCCGCCTCATTAGCTCTTTATTTTTCCCGGGCATGTGGCCAGGAAGTGTATATCTGTGTGACCATACATATCTGTGTGACCATACACATCTGTGTGACCATGCATATCTGTGTGACCATACATACCTGCTTGCCGATAGCGCGACGTGACGCGCAATCTGTGGTGGTGTAAGGGGACTTCAACAAGTATGAATGTAAATGCCTGGCTGATTATAATCACTCGCCTGGCTGATTCCTTGTGGCTTGTGGCTTTTGGGTGGTGGGTGCTATCCTTACGCAGCCTTGGCTTGAACGAAAGCACATGTACGAGAGGGATGCAGCACAATTTTCTGATGGCAACGTTTCGCTGGCTGCTGGTGCAGCAGCCGCTAGCATGGCCACGACAACAATGAACTGGGGGCTGGTCCAGGCATGTGCAGCGGCGGCAGCACTGGTGGCAATAAAATTCACCCCTGTTAGGCCCGGATGTCGGCACCCACTTGCATCTCACTGGCCACTAGTCGGTCGCTTCACGTTGCACCTGGCAGCAGTCTTGGATATTGGCACGTCAATGCGGTTGTGATTGGCTGCTTGCTGCGTGCATGTATTTGGTTATGTACGTGTCCTGTTAGGCTCTGGTTTAGGTGGAGGCAACCGTTCCCCTGTCGGCTACATGTGCTACATATTTGTAGTGTTCGTCGCGCTGTGTCTCTCAGAAAATGCAGATCCTGCATGCACGAGTGCCATCCATGGTCACAGCCAACAACCAAAACCTCACCGATCTACTCAACCGATGCTAGTCGTTGAATAGCTGCTTTTTGCGGTGATAGCTAGTGTTTCTAGGGTTTTTAGGGTCCTTGAAACCCTAAACGCCTAGAAAAGGCTACACACGGCTGACTGCAGCATTTCGTGCATTACGAGTACGTGTCCAACGGCAGGGACGTGTCCAACGGCGGGGACCAGCAACAGGCACAAGCAAGGGATGAACAATTCCATGCTGCCGCCTTCGTGTTGCTGCTGTGCTGTCCCGGCATGCATGTTCTGGCTAGCTACGACCAAATACCCCATGTACACATGCACCAACGTGTACACGTACACACACATACATACACCCACCTACCCTCGTCGAATTGGATGGAACCCTGATAAGACCACGAAGCCACACAACGTTATTGCGGCTCGTGACAATGCTTAGTAACTCTATTAGACGTGTATCTACAATGTGAACTTCCTACATACATCGCAAGCGTGTCGACACCGATAATGGTTGGCGGGTTTGTGCAATCTATCTGAATTCACTTACCATCGTATACAGAAATTGACACATACTGCCCTCCGCATTAGAATTCCAGTCTGTTGTCAGCAAGCTGGAATATAGCTGATGTTCACTAAACGAGCGTTCTCCGACTATAAGATTCTAAATTCGATATCGCTACCTTTATCAACTCTTCTTACATTCAAGTCTGTATGATAAGCCCTAGACAAGTGAGCCGAGGGTTCGCTTCGCGGCAGTAGCCCCGTAAGTTGGCTTTGCAGGTCCCGCCGTAAAACATAGCTAGACATAGCTAGAATAATTATCAAACGAACGACTAAACAAATAGTTGGAACCACCCCGCCTATAGCACCAAATTTCAGCTTGACATCTGGCTTCAAGGTGGGCCACACACCGGCAACCCGTCTTAGGGTCCAGTAATCGTAAGGGGCATCTGTGAAGCCAAGATTGCCAGTGCACTCTCGTCGCTCAGGTTTCTCAAATCATATATTCATTGTCTGTATGCTTGCACAGCTCTTACACAACTCTTACACAACCTCTGAAGAGCCTTGCTGACAAATAAAAAGAACTGCATTGAAGATCAATTACGTAGCTGATTAACTAGGCCGTGTTGGAGGGAGTAACCTTGCCGTACGCCTTGTACAGTGGCGCACCCGTGGAACCGTACCATCGTGCAGAGACAACCAAGAGATGAGGAGGTTGCAAGCAAGGCTCTATACTGCCCACTCGAAAGGTGTGCAACGTTCCCCTAATTGCTATATCCGGTCAAGCACGACCTAATTCACTGCTATGTGTGGCATAGATGGTGCGCGGTACGTGGCTGGACTGCCTCGTTGCCTCTGAAGCCGCTGCTGCAAACAAGATGGTTTGGGTGGGTCTCAACTACAGCCGCCATCACCACCATCAAAGGGGGGTGCAGAGGCAAATAAGAATAAGTCGGCAAACAAGAGTAAGACAAGTGCCAAAAGCTGAAAAAAACAACAGGTTGCGTCTTGCAGAGCAATCACAGGCGGCAATTTGGTGACGCAAAAAAGAAGTCCTAAACCTGCAGTCATGTGCCGTGAACCGCTGGCTGCCGACGAATGAGCGTGGCTACACCGTTTCGCCTGTGAAACTCTTTATTTACCAAGCATACTGCCTCGCGCATTGTTCTTTCACACAACCCACTCGGCTCTTAACTCTCCTGACATCCCTCCCATCCTCCGTAAAGCATATCCCAGCCCGAGCCTTTAAGCGTAGCTCCTGACACCAAAACCTCCCTCCTTTCCGTCTGGTCTTAGTCTGCAATTGATGTGCCCCCAATCCATGGGCCTCCACTGCGCTCTCCTCCCCATCCACATCGCCTTCTGACAGCTTATCCGGTCTTGAGCAGGTCCAGGTGACCTCTTCTTTCCCCTCAACCCCATTGTAACCCTGCCTGACACAGCCACCCTCCCCCAATGCCATGTTTCAATGACCCGGCCCGCTACAGGTGAAGAATCCACTGCAACACTGCGCGAGAAGGCTTCGGCAGTGACGGTCCCAATATGGACCTATTGAGCCCAGCACGTCGAGGGGGAAAAAGGGAGGTGGGATATCAACAGTGGCGGCAGGCTCTCTCCCATTTCCAGCCGTCCTTCCACACACTCCCCTTTTGCAGGGTCACTGTGCACCCCTGCCCTGGGCTCAGCACGAGCAAACCCCCGCCTGCTGCCCCGTGGGTACCGCCCCCAGCTTGATGCCCCCGACTGCGGTGGTCTCTAACAGCAAGGGGGTGTCCAAGATCTGCAGTGCGGCGCAATGGTGAGGTGGGGAAGTGTTGCGGTGGTGCAGCAAGGAAAAGACAAATCCTTAGGCAAGCAAGGCCTTACGACCAATTATCACCAGCAAAAGCAAAAGCACTCAGCCCTGGGCAGAACCCCAAAATAGCTATAGCGTTCGACCAGCCACGTGCATCCGGCCTTCTAACTTCTATGGCGTAGCGCAGTCGTAACGAACACCCCCAGTCCTCCCCTCATACGGCTCGCCCGGCATGTAATCCACCATTCGCCTGCACTCCAGTCCGCCCTACCTCTCCGCCATTCCCTCTCCACCCTACCCTCCTTCCCGCGAGCCTCACCTTGAGCAGCAGCTCTTCGAATGCCTGTCCCACCGCCAGATTGGCCCGGGCGGATGTCTCCACAAACAGACACCCGTGTCGCCGGGCAAAGTCATGACCCTCCTCACTGCTCACCTGCCGCTGGGCGGACTGCGAGGACGAAGATCAACATACAATAACGGGGTCGGGGGGGCTACAGGTGGGGACCTCGGAATTGCAGAGGGGTGTCGTGGTGCACAGCGCAGCGTAACGATGTCCGAACAGGTCTGAGGTCACGCGGAAAAGAGCCAAGCCCGGAGTCAGGTGTGTGACGGGTAAACGTTGTCGGCGCAACTAGAAAATCTTTAAGGGCAGGTTGCAGCATTTGCAAATGCGGATACAGCAGCCTTGAGGGATTATTCTCACGTAGCTTGCGTAAACACTTTCGTTTCGCTGTAATACTGTTTCACAGACTGCCTCCCGACCCGAAGATTTACGCGAAAGAATTTCAACACGGCATTATGGCTTCCTGCGTCGTGAAATTCAAGACCAATTGGAATATTCGCCACGCACCCTGCCCTCTCTACACCTCACTCACCAGGTCCACCTTGTTGGCCACCACCATCTTAATAGCCGACTCCACAGTGCTGTAAATGTCAAACTCGCGCATCCAGTTGGCCTCGAGAGACTCAAACGTGTCCCGCCGGGTAACGTCGTACACTAGGGGATAAGTGGGAAGGCACACAAATGATAGGGGGCCGGGGCGTGCAACCGTGGCAGAGAGCGGGAACGGAAAGGGTTAATTAGGTTGAGGTTGGGAGCTGGTTGGCTTAGCGTACATGCTTTATGCCGGGGATGCGCGGCGCCTCTTTGGGAGTAACAATACGTAGTGGCTGGGTGGTTCGGGGCCAGGCCTCTCCAGGAGTGTGGGCGGGGAACGGGAATGCCGGGCGTCAGGCGGTGGGGACGTGTGGGCGCACCGGCACACCCCAAGCGACAAGCCATCTAGTTAAGTTGCCTGGTGTGAACGGCCCGGTAACCCCCATCAAGACATTATCCATGACGTCCTTTCTAAACCATTAGGTTTGGTCCGCCAGCCTTCTTACTCCTTTACCCCTGGCGACCCCGGTGGGGTTGGTACCTCAGGACTAGGGGAATAAACAGCAAGCGAAGCTCAACCACTGATGTGCTTATGGCGCAGTGGTGTGCACGATTCAACTCCTGGGCTTGCTGGAGCTCGCGTCCTGCGTGGTAGCCCCCGGTCTTCACCTGTGTCTCTTTCCCTACCGAGAGACGCGGGCCACAACGACATTCTGCTCCGAAACCCAGCTCTTGCCCCCTGCTGTTGATGCGCCACGCCGAAGGTCTCTACAAAACCCTTGCAGACCCCTACCGCCCTGAAATCCTGACTCTAAACCTGACCCGTGACACCCCGATTCCCTCATAACCCGGAGAGCAATATGGTGCTCCCTGATACCCAAACAGAGGGTGTGTGTATGGCATCTCTCCCTTACGCTCGCCGGGGGCCGCTATGGTAAGCGCTTCCACTCTCGTGCTCTCCTTCGCTCTTTCGCTCTTAACCCCCCTCCTGACCGCCACACATTCCATGTCAGATCACGCACCAAAGATTATGCCCTGAGCTCCACGGTAGTAGCTGCTGGTGAGAGTGCGGAACCTGAAGGGCATTGGACGGTTGCATTTTTATGGCGGCGAATGTCACGGTCTGGGTGGATACGAAGGTATGAAGCAGGTCGGCAGAGAATTGGTGTTAAGATCAGCACGGAGAGATGGGTTAGGGATTGGGGAACATGACTGGACTCATGAGAAAAAAATATAGCTGGCTAAGCTGCACGGAGCAGGGAATGGGTCCCGCTGTAACCGCGGCAAAGCGCATGGCCCGTGCGCTGTGGCGACGACAGAACGCACCTTTCTTGCCCAGCAGTATCCCATATCGTTAGCTTGCACCGTTTGCCGTCCGCTGTAAGGTATTTGACCTTAAAATCCACGCCTGCATTACGCGCCCTGGAACTTTCAACGGGGGCTTTCCGCACCTGCACGGAGCCCTGGTGGCGAACTCACCTATCGTCGATGTTGTGCTTTCCTCAAATATTCCAGAGGTGAACCGTGTTAAGATACAGCTTTTCCCCACACCACTGTCGCCAACTAGTAGGACCTGAGAGGACCGAACACCTGGCTTCCTCAGCGCAAGGCCGTTTAGACGCACGTTATGAAACCATCTAAGCAGAATGTTCACCTTAAACGTATAGTCATGCGAGTCCACTGCCATGTCCGCACAACGAAAACGCGGACACGAGTCCGATGCTAAGGGAATTCCACTCTTCACAACAGCTGCCTTCACAAAAGTGTAATCCTCTAACGAAACCCTTGATGATTCCAGTGTGTAAGGTTACAAGACTGGAAACGGAATGTATGCGCAGCTGCTGTGTGCGATCCGCGACAGCAAAAGCAGAGGTACGGCAAATCTCGTCTAGGAGTATTCGCATGCTGGTCATAATAGTCATTTCTCTATCCATGCCTCGCTGCTTGTAGGGATGGGAATGGTGGTGTTGGCTGCCCAGGCAATCATGTCGTACAGACCGAAACCCGAGCTGTTGCCATACCAACGCGCGGTTGGAAAAAATTCCTTACAGAACAAAATGGTTGCGGGATTCTCAGGAAAGCCTACACATAAACATGTTACATCGGACGCCATACGCGTCACGTTTCTTACAGCTACCCGCGTGGAGCTCATCGGACCCAGTAACCTACGCCGCGACACCAACACCGTAATAAATTCCTTTTGTGTGGGAACACAGCAAGCGCCTGCTTCCACGAGCTCCCAAGAACAGTGTACAACGGAATGTAGCACAGCGTCCAATGGGTTTCCTTGTACGGCGTTTGCGCCAGTAAAAGGGCTACAAACAGATAGCTTATGCAAGTTTGCATTCATCTCTTTTTGAGAGCAAAAAGAGCCGGATGCAAACTTGCATAAGCTATCTGTAGGTTTCGGGGTACATTTGCGACCTTTTGCAAGACGCTCGGGAGGCCCACCTTAGTGCCAGATGTATATTCACGGCATCCTAACACTCTGAGGCGGTGAAACCTAAGGACTGCATTCTGAGATCAAACGTGTCAAGTGCTTGATGAACGAAAACCGCAATATGCTTTTTATGGGTGTTGGCATAGGGCTGCACCTGAGGTTGGCATAGGCTGCACCTGATCGTCGCTGCCACGTAAAGCCCTTCACGGCAGGCATTTGCATGCTTGTGCCTTGTCCTCCCGCTGTGGGCATGTTTGTCCGCGTCATGTCATCGCCCCGTCCATGGGAGCGTTAAACTGATGTTGAGCCTGTTTACGGTGTGTTGGAGTGCACCTGCTGCGACCCCTTAGGCCCCCGCAGCTGCCCTGGCTGCCAATCCGTCACGTCCACGTCAGGAAGTCTGTAGACCGTACCCCCCTTTGCTTATGGCACAGGGCTAGGAAGGGCTGTCACGCGTCATCGTCCTTCCGGAGCTTCCGCCGCTTGCGTGTGGCAAGCACTGGCGATCTGGGTTTCGTTAAGGGCTTTGGTGGAGGCGGGGGTTTGGCAGCCGGCAGCGCTGACAGGTCGGGCATTGGACGTGCATGGAACACCGCAGCCTTGCGGAGCTGCTTTCGCTCCTCTTCCTCACGGAGGCGCCTCTCCTCCTCAGCTTGCTTTGCGACGGCCTGCTCGGGTACGCGGTTACAGCAGACAGGAGGAGCCGCCCAGGTCAATGGAATTCACTTGTCAAAGTCATCCCAGACACTAGTGTCCCGCTCCTGAGCCTCGGAAGCTTGCCATGACACCAGCTGGATCCAACACAGAAGTCATTAGGATGTCACCGTGGATATTGCACACGACGAGAACGCCCTCGCTACACCAAAGCCGCCATCGGGGTTACGTATATTGCACCTGAAACACGGCACGTGGCTGGCCACGCTGGACGCTTTTCGGTCTGCTTGTTACTGGTCAGGGCGACAGCTGCAGCTCCGTACATCATAAGCAATTCAATCATTAACCAAATCTCACCTCCGCCTCTTTCATTTTTTCCTCCATGTGTTTGTTAAACTCCTCGCGCTCCACGGCTCGCACGCTGGTGCGTAAGCTGACTGGCTCCGGAACCGTCAGGGGAATATCCGCGTCATGCAAGCGGAAGGGTATGCCCTTCCACATGGGCTTCGCCTGTGGAGCATGGTTTGCAAATTTTAGGAGGTTGCATAAGGGAACGAAGCCTAGTAAAGCGGAAAGCCATTAGAATGCCTGAACGCTGGGAGGATCGATGAGTCTGCTGCGGAAATGGGCAAATGCTGGGTAACGTAAAACGTGAGCGAGAATGCTGCGGGGATCATGATGAGCGGGACCTGCCAAAGTGGTGCAATGCGCGAGTATTCTGTTCTCAAGCTGTTCGTTACCTTAAACTCTGCTTCGGCGCGCTTGGCAGCCTCCTCTTCTTCTAGAGCACGCCGCATTTGTTCCTCGTAGACACAATGCCGAGCCTGCAAGGACGAAGTAACATGCCCCGCTCCGATCAAAGCTTCCTCTTATGGAAGCTGCACATGCCTGCACCCACGCCAACCATGCGCCACGACGGACATGATGTGCCGGTCGTGCCCATCCATGTCCCTCGTCGGCTCTTCTTTCGGCCACAATGTTTGCAAACGTGATGTTGATTTGCATGGGCCTGCTTACAGAATGTTGCACAATCATGCTAAACCATGTTAGCCGACCTCTACCCCAGGCGCCTGCCGCTTCCTTTCCCTTCAGCTCACCTCGCTCTCCAGGTGAAAGGGCTCAGGCACAGTGAGTGCTCGTGGCTCTGGCTTGGGCGGCACTAGCGGCATGTCCGTGGATAGCGGCAGGCCGTTAGCCCGGGGCACTCGAGCGCGGCGTGCCGCCTTCTCCTCCTCCGCCAGCTTGGATTCCAGCATGTAGCGGTAGCGGGCACTACGCTCCTCAGTTGCCAAGCGGAACGGCGCCGGTTGTGTGGGCGCCGGAGGGGGCTCCCGTGGTAGATCCAGGCTGGGAGGCCAGACGGGCACGGGGACGGTGCCTTTTGGGATCATGCGCAGGAGCTTGTGGAACAGGAAGAAAAACGATTCGGACGACATGCAGTGACCCGTGGCATGGTTGAGCTATTGCGAAAGCGGCCAAAAGCTGACGTTTAATAGGGGATTTTGGCATCTCTGGACTGTGCGGGGTGTAGATACGAAGAAAGGAGAGAAGTGGGCGTCATATGTGCAAGGCCGATGGATCCAGGACAGGGCAGGCGGCGCATGGAGTGTGAATACATATGGTGGGATACATTGTGACAAGCGTCTTGAGGAGGAGATACGTTTTGGTTTGGCTTCCACCACGCAATATCCATAAGCACCAGCACATTCCTTGGTAATTACGTAACAATTAAGCTTGTGCGTGCAAGTTTCATTTAGGCACGGCTACATGCCTCTTATGGAATTCATCGAGCCTCGACATATTGAAAGATCATCAACCTTCCATGATGAAGCAGCGGCGTGATAAGTCTTATTGTGACTACAAGTGTTTATGTATGTAGGACACCGTACCTTATCATGCTAATGAACTTCGGCACTGGTCGGGCGTGGAACTCAAATCGTTGCTCCTCGGTTTTGTTCTGCGGCCGACGACCAATGGAGGAAAGTATCCATGCTTCAGCCACGGGCGCATTTTCTGGGCTCATATTTGGTACAGCGAGCATAAACACGGGGACCTACAGCACTGCGCTCGGGGCATGCGCCCATTTCCTAGGAAGGTGGCAGCCGCACTACACACACACACACCTATCGCAAAGTGCAGACGGCGATGTCAAATTACGAGCAACGAGAGGCCGGGGCCGGGGCACCGTCGAACAAGGGATGTGGACAGCAGGTGTGTGGGGGTTATTGGGAAAAGGTCTGCGCTTTCTATAGAATTGCTCAACGCTTAAGGTATCTGATGCAGCTCACCCCGCGTGCCCGAAACTTCGTTTGTAGCACTGGCGAGCGTGGCACCACCGGCTCCAACTGTGAGGAGAGGGTGGAGAAGGCAAAGGCTCATGTGACTCAAAACCTACAGAAACCAAATCCAGGAGAACTCTCAACGTGCAGGTCACGCTTCCTTGAGCATGTGCAACGGCAAGGATAGCACACCAGCACAAGGGTGCTTTAATGACTTTTTGGCGAAAACGGGTGGTAACCCAACCATCCTCATCAACTTTTTTGCGCTAACGGGAGTAACCGGATGTATCTGTACATCATCATCCATTTCCAGGCCGCCTAAAGGCATGGATCCAAAACCAAGCACACCCTGCAGTGGAAAAAGTTGCCGAAGCTGTTGCGCTGCCAGCATTACCGTTCACTGCGCCATACTTGCAGAGATTTCATGCGGCTAGTAAAATAATCCAGGGGCCCCCAGCATACGGCACAAGGGCCCTTACCAGGTGGCAAGCAGCACCTTTCCGCGCCTTGTCATCCAGCTTCCCAGCCTTATCGCGGCCCTCATTGTCGGACGCAGTCTGCCGCTCAGACTGCTGCTTTTGGCGCTGTTCCTGCTCCTGCTGCTTTGCCTGCCGAGCTGCCCTCGCTTCCGCACGGTCATCCGTGACGAAGGAGAACGGCATTGGCGCAGTAATCTCGCGCTTCTCCACTTTGGGCACACCGAGCTGGCCCGAAGTGCTCAGGATGAGCGGACTGAAGGGGATTCGACAAATACGGAATCAGGAACGACTAAGGAAAACCAGTAGACCTGACTGCACAACTAGGCTGACGAAGGGAATCCTTGCCTTTTGTATTATGCACCCCGACGGAGGGAGGGCAGTGATGCCCGGGCCGGCAGGGAGGAGTGAAGAGCGCGGTGGGCGCTGTTGCGATCATATGATGGTCAGGGTATGTCTCAAGGTACTGTGCTGGGAGCTTCATTATGTTTGCATACTATTATTAAAAGCACAGAAGAGTTGCATCCCATGCGTTGACGCGACCCGCGTACTTTAACGTGGAGGCCCGGAACACCGGCATCTGCGCCATCTCATCCGCCTCCAACACCTCGCGCGGCTTGAAGGTGCTCGGCCGGGCGCGTGCTGATGTCACTAGCGACGGCTCCTGTGGGACATAGCGTGAATTAGGCGCGAGGGAGGCAACAGCGACGTGAAGTTCAGACCAGGGGCCAGCTTAGGGGATGCTGAGGACAGAATGCCCTGCTGCAGGACCTGCAGCATGGAACGACCCCAAGGGCGGTGCTGTCAATAGTGATGATTTGCGATAACGATACAAAATACGGTACACAACAAATCCAACAATTTACTCGACTCCTCCACCTTGGGTTCCGTAATAGTTAGCGGCCTCGAGGGAGGTAGTTTATCGGCCTTCCGCTTGAAACGTCCAGGGGTCTTATCAAACTCCTTTACCCGCAGCGCCAGCGGCTTAAAAGGGCTATTCTCTTTGTTATCCTCCTGTAATCGTGCCAAAGGGATGGAGGATGTGTCTGCGGGACCAGATGGCTGTGGCTGGAATAAGATGTGAAAATTGGCAAAGACGCCATTGGCAGCGCAAGTTTGGAGAGCTGACGGGCATCCTAGGTGAGAAATGGGTGAAGCAGGCCGACGCGAAGTGCACGGCTTGCCCAGGTGGCGCAGCAACAAACACACAACACGTCTCAGGGCTGTGCGTGCCATCAGGGCTCTAAGAGTGCTGCACATCTTCCTACGGAGGGCAACAGACCGTGGATACCAAAGAATGGCTATCGGAATCCTGGCGTCAACGCTTGGGGTCTGGGAGGCGGAAACGACAATCCCGTCTCCGATCCGCGCCATACAGTCCACGCCCTCGTCTTTTCCTTCTTCGGGACAGCGGCGGGGAATCCAACTGGCAACAGACTCAACCGTATCGGCATCACTTGTGTCATCATGATGGTCCACGACCTTGTCTTTTACATGCGCCGCGGCGCGCCTGCTGGTGTGAAGCTCCACGTCCTCAGGCACGGTGAGCATTTTGGTCGAGCGCATAGGCATGATCCGGCGCGGTGCGGCGGTTACCCGAGGCTTATTGCCCTTGTTCTTGAGGGTGACCTTAATCACGCTGAGCTGGCGGTGCTGCGGGCAATGCCAGGATGAGGAAGATGGGTAAAAACAACTTGGTCCGCTATACAGGCAGGCCAGGCGTAATGGGCGGCCGCGGCCGTGACGGGTATGAAATGTGGTTAATGGATCCTTCACCATCGACGGTGACGTTTACGAGCAGGTATGGATGGAGGAGGCAAGGCATGAATGGAGACGAGCTGAGACGTGGGTCTAGCTTCCGATGATGCTTTACCAGGCGGCACGTATATGCACGTGCAAGATAGATATGTGCATGTATTTGTTGTATTCGTAACAAGAGGACGCCCTGGATGCTAATTTTTGTGCGTACCTCCTTCGCGCCTTTGCGACGCGCCTCTGCACGCGCTGCTTTCTGGACCTTGACCTTTGCCTTGTGTTTGGCTGCTGGTTCGTGCTTCTCCTTCGGCTTCACGGCTTTGGCCGTACGCTGCCCCGATGCATCTGTATCGTGGGGATATGCACAGCTTCAACGCGAGTCGAGCTTGGTGCAAACCCTGGGGTTTACAACTTACCGTCATCCCCTTTGCGCTTCTTCTCCACGTCGTTTCCCCAGGACGATACAATGTTCTTCTTTTTCTTCTGTTCAGCGGGATGGGGAGGTTGAAACGACTTATGACGCATCAGCGTTCCGGACAAGCAAAGCAATGTCAATGGTCGTCCCCCGTTACCTTCGCATCTGCATCGCCCGCGGCATCCCCAGCTTGTGCTCGTACGGTGTTGCTTACGTCCGCGAATGTGCCGTTCCTGCTGGGCGCGTCCCGGTGCTAGAACGGCCGGAACGTTCCAGATAACGCTTCAGTCTTCAATCAATCAAGCTAGCGTCGTTTGACAGTCATGAACTCTCGACCTTACCTTTGCACCCGCATCGCCCGCGTGACCTCCGGCTTGTGTTCGTGTGGAATTGTTCGCGTCTACCTTTGCTTCCTCCGCTTCCGGCACGCCTCCTGGCATGTATAAGCTGCTATACTCCTCTGCGAGCAGGTACCGTGCCTGAGCGCGTATGCCGCTTTTCCATGCCGCTGGCTCCAACAAAATTTACCATGTGTGTCAAACCAGGCACTGTTCATAGATCCTGTGCTCTGTTGCTGAAAATCCCGAAACATTGGTGCATCACAGTCGTTATTCCAGTCAACGTGCTTCGCCTCTACCAATGCTCCCATGGCTGCAGCCTCAACTTCTATGGCCGCAGCCAGCCCACTTAATAGCTTATGTTGTATAAAAGTGCCAATAGATTTACAGTGCTCTTGACCTTCGCAGGCTTCCAGCACTAGAGCAAAATCGTTTCAAACTTGGATTCCGGATTTCTCCAGGAGCAGAATTCACAATTATCCAAGCTTATTATGCTATGCTTCTCTTATCCAGCATGGGTATGGTTTTAATATCTCTGTGCCCATTAATCCTATGAAACATCCGCGTCTCCTTGGGCCTTTCAGGCGCCCACCGGATATGGAACTAATTATCTGCTAACCTAGTAATTTTCAGTTCATGATGTGATTCTCATGTTTGTTCTTTCCGTAACGCTCGGCGAGACGACAGCACGGCGCATTCCGCTTCCGGCCTGGATCCATGGCGCCCCGCCGTTTCGGACGGCCGTCATCGCAACATCGCTGCCGCCCCCTTTCCTCAGTGGTGGTGCCACTTCTAATCCACGGAGCATCTTCAACCCGCTGACCCTTGCGTACCTTGGAGACGCGGTCTGGGAGGTATGCGTTGCCTTGTGTTTTTACAACCCAGGGCAGCAGACTCCCCGGGAACAATCCAGCGGTGGAATATACGTTCACCTTCCCCTGGAGTTAGCTAGAGGGGTATAAGTTGCAACTTGGGCTAACGTATGTTCAGAAGGCCAGTGGTTGGAACAGGAGTTAAAGCGGTGTCACCCAGGCCCTCTAATGGTCACGCAGGCCCTGTAGGGCTTTGCAGACCCTCTCAACGTCCCCAGCCGGGTCCGAAGCCCAGGGAGCACTTTCCCCGCTCTTGCCCGAGTCGCCCTAAGCCTACAGTATCCATAGATCGCTCTGCGCGCCCTACGCACATGCATGCAACTGAGGATTTTGAGCACCAGTGCCCGCTGTATGCAATGGGCATCATTACCCTCAGTTCACAACGCAACCTGCTGCAGGCCCATACTCGGCGGCTAGAGACTTACATTGAGGCCTGGATTGCGCAGCAGAGTCAGGCGCAGCAGGGGACGCAGCAGCGGCACCAGCAGGAACAGCAGCGGGGAAGCGCAAGGGCATCAGGACGACGCGGAGGCGGCAGAGCGGGGGAACGCTTTGTGAACGCCGGCGACGGGGACGACCGCAGGGACAGTAGCGATGTTTTTAACGGCGTGGGAGGCAGCCGGTATGGTGGAGTTTCACTACCAAGTCGTCAAGCTCGCAAGCAGTGGTCTACGGCGATTTTCCAGGTACGTGTGGCTGCGTGGGTGATTGTAGGAACGGTTTTGGACAGGGGTTTGCTGAACTGGACGGCTAATGCGGGAGAAAGCCAGGCGAGTTGCAGAAGAGGACGAAGAAGCACCCAGTACACTCGTAAAGGCCAGATATTACTCCTTAGGTGTGAAAGAGGCCATGACATGGCCAGCAATGAGTATGCGAATGTGGGGAGAGTGCGGCTGTAGGATTCGGTTTGGGATTAAGGGGTCAACTCCGATTCCGACGCTGGACTACCACCTCACTGATCCGATGTGTCCAATTCCTCCCGTTGGTATAGTCGTCGAGTCGAGAGGTAGTGGGGCTTGTCAGCCCAGTTAGTCGGTACCTCCTGGGTAAGTTCCCCCTCCCCCCCGCCTTTACCTATACCACTACTACCATTCGCACACGAGCGAACCCCAATAGCCCACACTTTGCCGCACATATCCGCACCACCCTAACCCAGGCACTCGTATTCGACGCCCTCATGAGCGGCGGCCTCCAGACTGCTCCCGACGAGCCCCCGCTACCCGGGAACCTGCCACCTTCCACTTCAGCGGCAGCGGGAGCACCTCCAATCTCCTCACTCCCAGGGGAACCCTGTCCGCAGCCCCCTCCGTGCCCTCCCCTGTCCGGTGTGGTCCTTACGGCTGAGGAATTGGATGTGCTCCGGTGGGGGCGCAATGCCGCCGTGAGCAGCATTCCGCGGGATGTGCCAGTGGGGGTGTATAAGAAGGCAACTGCGGTGGAGGTGCTGGTGAGCCAGGCAGGGAGCGAACATGTGTCCGTATGTAGTGCTATTTGTCTATGGGGCCATATCGGGGGGTTTCCAGAGGCCCAGACGAGGCGAGCTCCTAGGCTAGAAGTTCACGCGGGTCCTGATTTTGGTCATTTGCTTGCTTGAGAGGTGAGGCCCTACTTCAGTCCAACTCAGGCATATACCCCTTCCGTGGCCCTCTCCACATGGATACCTCTGCCTCAGGTGGCCCACCTCTACCTGACGGACCCGAACCGCTGCGCAGCCCTCATTGCCGCGGCGGTGGGGCTGGGGGCTTCTGCGCTAGCACCGCTTCTTTATATTGCTCCTGCAGCCGACTCCAGTCCAAAGCCCGAGTCCTGATAGGCGTGACCGACCCCGGGCCGCTAGCGTGCGTTTGCATTCTGTGATGCACACAGGCACTTGGTTTCATGGCATTCAGGTTTAAGTGCACCAATGAATTGGTGCCAGATGCTTACCTGGCATACGCGCAGACATGCACCTGAGTAATTCATGCTCCCCATCTCGCTCGGGGACCACCTTTCGTTACTTGCTTGTATTGTCTTTGCTGCCATCCGACTACACAAGGACACATTTTCCGTCCTAACTGTCATATTCCCAAACGGGCCCACGGAGGGCACCGTGACCTGGCACTCCGGCATAGCAGGTTGTAGTCGTGGATCCAATTTAGAGTCGTTGCATTGTGATATCGTTCGTAGGGTGGGGGATTGGGGCTAGGAATACTACAGCGATTTGATAGGTGGTCGGACGCCGGATCTGGGGCCGGCACACTACTGCCCAGATCGGCTTCTTGCGGGGTAAAGGGTAGTGGTCAATGGGGGTTGGGCTTTTAGGGAGAGGGCTGGAACTGTCTTGGCAAGGTATAAAGATGTGATGGTGACGGACTGCTGCTGCTGTTGTGGCAATGTACGTGGTCAGGGCCTAACTGTGGAGGAGTGCCCGGAGGTCATCAAGGCGTACTGCACCTAGGCTGTTGTCAACCCAGGGCATTGCAAGTCTCCTATACGATCGTGGCAGAGAAGTTGAGCTTACCAGGGCACACCCTCCGCAACCATGTTGCGACAAGGGATTGCCATTGTCCAAGTGGTCTTTCGGCTTCGGCCTCTGGGTTATTTAATGAAATAAAATTATAATTCGCCTAACACACACACACAAATGGCTTATGAAGGGTCAATCTACAACTGACCATCATCATCGTACTGCACCGCTGAAGTTAGACCGGTATACATACGCAAGTCTGTCACTGGTCTGGGTCACCACACTCATCTCCGTACCGTTTCCGCCGCGTGGCATAAAGCCTTTCCCCCCTGTGACTTATGACCACACACAAAACCCACACCCGCAAGCCAATCTACCCACACTTATCCTTTCTAGGGAAACAAATACATCCTGTTCTTAGCCCTTAACCCTCCGCAGTTCATGTTTCTCATGTAGGCCCGGGAGAATGGACAATTCAGTCGCGCGCGTACTAGACATGGGATGCAGCGTGCTTGCTCGGCGGGTTTGGAACCTCCTCCTCCGCTGTCCCTCTAATGCCTGCTTCCCTAATCCTCACCTGCCTCGCCACCCTACACCTTCCATATGAAACCGACGAGTACATTTAAACACGCATTTCACAGTGCATGCAGTTCAACCCCCACCAGTCCCGCCGCCACTCATCTACGTCATAATCACCGTGCTACCCCGCCCCCACTTGCCTGGCTACCCCGCCCCCTCGGGTTCCGCTGGTCTGGATTGCCCCCGATTCTCCCACCTTTCTGTGCACTCATGGCCCTCCGCGCTAATCGTCACTTCCACCCTTCGCATCCGGACCCCGCCCCCACTGCAGCATCTACACGAGTTGAGCGCACTTGGTGATGGGACCCGTGGGGGGGCAAGTAACGGAGGCCCCCGGGGGGAAGCCCGCGACCCGGTTAGCGTTCTTGGGCATACACTGCCCTGCCTTCATGTGCTGAGGAAGATTATGGGGGCCGGGAGGGGGAGGGCGGATAAAGGGGGATGAGTGTCAGGAAACATGCCGAGGTCAGGAAACATGTGGTTCCTCTCCCGAATTGAAGCCAAAGAGAGGCAGCGGCTTTGAGGGTTACTATCTCCACCAGTCACCAGAAGGGGCAGATGACAAGTTTCAAGCACATACACGCACACGTCCTGTGTACATCCACACAATTCCCACTGCCACGACTTCGCCCGACCCCGCTCTTCCCACCTCCTTGATAACTTGATCGGTGGCATCGGCTGCGTCGTGGTCCGCGTAATGTACCCATTGGGGGTTGAAGTAACACAGCCCACTGACCGGGAGGAGGGGGGAAGGGTTGGCGGAAGGGAGAGGGAATCATACACGGAGCAAGGAGTCATCTGCCGACGTCTAAAAAGGTTGTTCGAGAAGGGGGTCAGCTACATTTCACATTTCACTTTTTAGGAACTACAAGGCTAACCAGACGCATACTAAGGTGGTCGCGAATTTCTGCCCCTTGCCCGCAAACCTCCTAAGCCCCAGGTCCCAGCACTTCCCCCACATTTCCCTGCCGTACCTGAGCCGGGGCTCCACCGGGCCGTCACTGCCCTGCCCTCTCCCTGCTGCCTCTCCATTAGCCGCCCGAATCCAATCCACGGTGGTCACAGTCCTCTGGGGGAAGGCCTCGTCGTCTATGGTGTGACTCCGGGAGGTGGTCACTCCCGCCAGCGGCAACGGCGGGGCGGGAGGCGGGGCACCGCCACCACCAGAACCTGAAAATCCGCTCTCCTCAGTGCTTATATCTCGGTGCTTGCAAGCCATAAAGTCGGCAAATTCAGGGTCCACCTGCACAAGAGGGGTACAACAGGACAGCCCGCCGGGGGAAGGGAAGGTTTGGGTGGTCGTATCTTGGTTGCTACTGCTGCCGTGTTGGGGCTCGTTGCAGCCCGCATGCCCCTGTCCCCTGTCGGAGCTTCCGGATCTCTTCTTCCTCCTTCTCATCTCACACTGCACGGCTGAACTCCCTCCCCAGAGCACCTCCACGGCTAGCCCCGCCCCACGCCTTAGCTTGCCCGTCTTGGGCCCTAACAAACCCACCCTCCCGAATCTACTCACTTCCCCAGTTTCCCTCCCCCCAAGGCCCAACCTCACCTCAATCAGCTTGTGGTCTGGTACCCCCCAGTGCCGCTTCCTGGCTCGCAAAATGTGAACCAGTGTAGCCATAGCGTCAAATTCGCCCGTGTCACCCTCGAATAACCCGCCGTACACAGTCGTAAACGCAAGGTGCCGGGCGGCGCAGTACAGCTTTTCCTACATACCGTACGGGTTGGACCGTGTCGTATTGGATTTTGTTAGGTCCCTAATAAATCAGGTTAGGGATCCGTTGGTATAGGGTCAGACAGGGACCCGGAAATGGGACAACAGAATTGCAAATTGCAAGGCTGCACAATTAGATTAACGGAAAAATACAAGCCCATTCAGACGTGACCCGGGGTAGAGAGAGCAGCACATATGCAGGAAAAGAACAGGGGAGAGGAGCGCAGGGCAGGCCGCAACAACAAACCCCCCAGGCTCCCCCCAGGCCACAAACATACTAGCAGGGGAGAGCAGGGAACTGCCCCGGGAACGGGGGCCGCTGATGAAGCTTAACCACCCTGTAACGACATACTAAATCAGGGTTCGCCTGTCTTCTCCTACACCCCCTGAATCACCAAAAGCCCCTCACGATACCCCTTACCATTTTTTCTGCCTTCTGTTGGGGCGTAAAGCCCCTCAGGATTATCTCCACGTCCTTGGCTTGCGACTCCGGGATCCACACACCGAACTCGTTCCAGTTTAGGAACGGCTCGTACGGCTGAGCCACGTGGTCTGCAGGGAGCGGCACCCGTAAACGGAGCGCATCGACATGAGGACGCATCCGTAAACCGCACGTCCTTTGACGGTTGTCCATTGTTTGTTGGGGAACACATGTTACTGGCCAGTACGTTATCGCAAAACATGTAATGCCAACGCCTATGCCAGAGGCGGACCGCATGGAAAACCCCTCCGGACAAACTCTCGCTTGCTTTGGACCACTGCTACTGCTGTGCATTTTCAAATTATGGAACCCATCCTTCCCCTCACTCTTTTCTTTGACACCCCTTCCTCCCCCTTCCTGCCACCGTCATGATCAAACCCTTACCCGATATGATGACAGGCATACAGCCCAGGGTGGTGGCCATCACATTACGTTTGCCATACCCAGCACCTACGCGACGGAGTCCCCGGGAGAAGGGGTGGGTGGGAGTTGGCGAAAAGGGGGAGGCAGAAGACGTCATTTTATATCGCCAGTTGGGATGTGCCTAGGGCGATGGGAGGGGCGGTGGTGGATAACATCCAGCCCCTCCTAGCCCCTTTCAGGAGTGGGAAACCCACCACCCAGGTGGCCTGGCATATGAGGAAGAGATGCGCGAATGAGGTTATGTGATACGGTGACGTTGGTGGAGGTGAAGGCAGTGGACATAAAGACTAAGGAACATGTGGGGGTGCAGGCCTGTAAACAGGGAAGCTCGTACTGCTCTCCTGGGACCCTCCAGATCGTTTGGTGGCGCCCCACGCGCACCCACTCTACGGGCCTCATCACCTTACGCCTCACAACCCCTCAACCACCCGCACAGGCACGGAACCCAAAGGCCCCGCGGAAAGCAAACCCTCTCCGCGCAACCCCCCTCACACACACCCGTCGGTGCGAAGCAGAACTCGCTTTCCGCCATGGACTGCCCCATCATGGCCACCCTCTTGGCTATGTGGAAGCCGGGCACGTCCCTCAGCTGCCATAGAGCCGCCCGCACCCCCAGACTGTAGTACCGGTTGCGACAAGGGGGCTCCTCGACACTGTTCCAGCCGCATATGCTGCCTGGAGGGGCCGGGGTGGGGGTTGGCAGGGAACATCGTCAAGCGCGGCTCGCTGGTGCTGATAGGGTGGAGAGAGTGAAACCCGCGGTATGATGTGGAGGGCTTTGTGTGCAGCTAGCCGGTATGGTTTCGGAGTTCAGACAGGAAGAAGGGGAGGAGAGGAAGGACGCATGTGACGTAATAATGATGGAGGGCAGGAGGAGAGGTGCGGGCGGATATAAGGTGGGGTAACGAGAACAACCTTCCCTTTCCTAACCCCTGAAGGGTTACCGCCTGGAGGGGGATGAAGCGGTCATGAAAAGTGATGATGTTCCTCACACTCCTTTACCGCACACACATACTCCTCCCGTCCGCTCCCGGGTCGCTCCCCGGTCGCCCCCCTCACCCGCCACAGACGCCAGGTTGGTCTTGGTAATGGGGCTGCGTGTAGATTTACAGACAGATGAAGGGGCGGCCGGATAACATGTGGGTTAATAAAGGTGGAATGAATAAAGGGAGTGGTGCAGACAAGGTAAGAAGGAAAACGTTAAGACAGGTGTGGAGATTACACGCAAAATGCGTATGGTACGGTACGGCATCAGGTGGTTATGCAACCGCATTGGGGTGCCGGGAGCTAAAGCGCGATGCGGATGTGTGGGCGGGTGGGTGGGGTTGTTCATTATTTCACAAGGCGGGAAAGGGAAGAGTGGGGGTCCGGGAACTGCAGCATTCTCACTCAATAGAGGCACTGCCCCGGATGGTTGCTGACTGGGCAGGGCCTCACACACGCACCGTGACCCCTGTGTGTGCGTATGTGAGTACGTGAGCAAGTCCGCACGTCACCCGCTCCAAGCCCTGCACGAGTGGTCGGCCGTTCCCCCCTCCGCCACAGGTTCCCCAGTCTCCACCCACTTTTCCTTGCGGTTTGGGTGCCAGATGTTGTACTCAAATTGCGGGTAGAGGTCGCCACACATGGGGGGAACCAGGATGTCCTGGGAGGGGGGCGGAGGGGCAGGGTCCATGCTTAGAATCCTAGGGTCCCGGGGCCAACAGAAATCCGAGTTACATAATGATCACCAGGGTGGACCTGGTTCTCTTATCGTGATATGGGAGGGAGGCCGGCGAATACACGCACACACACTCCTGGCAAACCGTCAGCCCCCATATTTCCACCAACCTGACCGACCCACCGGCGGAGCCCCTCCGTTCCGATTTGCCAAATCCCTCCCGCAGATCTCATTGACGGGTGATCCCTCTCCCCCCTCAAGGCTCCCCGGGCTACCAGCCAGCAACCTTGGGAACCCTATACAGCTTAGATGCAGATCCCCTTCCTCCCCAAAATTTCCCTCATCCCCCTTCTCTTCCCCTTCCCCCACCTGGTTGGGTTTGTGGCAAGTATTGAACAAGTTGTGCTCCACCTCACTGCATGTGAGTGGGGTGGGGGGGAAGGGTAGAGAAGACGTAGGGACATATATTCATTAGTGGGAACGGGTATTGGAGGAGGTCGGAAAGGAGCACTCACAGACTGTCATATAACTCGGAGCGACGGCGAGGGGGTACCGCGCATAATACTTTGAGCCATGAAGAGGACCAGGTCACGGCACGTTACGGGTGGGACCGGCGGCTACGCAATCTCAGCTCCATGACAACGTCAATAATGCAAGCGAGTGCGAGAGAACTCTGCTGCCAGATATAGTTATTATCCGTTTCCACCATCTTCGCCTCTTACCTTCCCCAGCTCATGAACACATCCACGCTCCTGAAACCCGCCTCCACCACCCCATAATCCCCTAGTCCCTGCCCCGAAGGCAACACCTTCTTACCCCATTTTCCCCTCCTTCTTCACGTCCCCTCGCATCACTGAACAGTTAGCTCAGTATGCAATTGTCCCTCCCCCGACCAGTCAGCCAAGACCGTCCACGATTCTGTCCTTGAGAATCTCTATCCATGGCGAAGTGGCCATCTTACCACGCCGTTATCCTCCTTCCTATCCTCGTCTGTACACGAACCGCCCCGCCCGGGGCCGCCTCCTTACCTAGACCTATCCACAGTCATCCCCCAGTGCTGTAACATTGTGACATTGGAAATGAACTTGTCGGCGAAAGCGTCCCAGGAGTGTTCACAACGACCCCAGTCACCTGAAGGGGGGGAGGGCGGGGGAAACCGGGTACTGGGAAGTCGGGTAGGACCTGGAGGGGCCAGAGCCTGCCTCGCCCTGTTGCCGGTGCCACTATATGATGTGTGGGACAGGGGGGTCATATCTTCACCCGTGGCCGCTACCCGGCGAAGCCCTGCCTTCCCCAGTATTTCGGGGCACCCTCATCCATTCACCCTAGCCGGCTTCTCCGAATTGAGTGGATCGCTCAGGTTCAGCACCCACCGCCGGCATCCAACGGAATCTGCCGGTTCAACGGCGGCTCAACTCCATTCCTGGTCAGCTAACAGGTCCACTTTATCCCAAGTCACCACCAGCCATCGACTAGGGGCCATCGACTATTCTCACCTTCCACCCAATCGGAAGGATTTTCGACCCTGACCGGTCCAAATCCCGAAACCTCCGGAGGCATCGGTATGTGCGTTACCAGCAGTGCCTGAACTGATATGAGATATGTATGCTTGCATGCTTATTACCTTCATGTTCCGCTGCTGCCCTGGCACCCCCGACTGGCCCCTGGAGCCTCCCTGGTCGCTCTACTCGAGGTTCTGCCCACAGAGGGGGCTGCTACACACACGGGCAGCACCACCTGCCCGGGGGCTGAGGGAGACCCTAGGAACTCCTTCCGGGACTGCTGGTGTATGGGGGCTGCCTGACTGCCTGAACATATCCGTACAGGTAACACATCTTTGCACAGCATTTAGACATACTCTCGCCCCCTCCCTCTTTCCCCCTACTTCCCCTCACCCGGGTGTGTCATGATGTGATCTCGGCCCTGGTTTTGGGTCCAGTACTGCCCGTAGTGAGCCTGACCGGCGAGGAAAGAAAAAGGATGGGGGTTATGCAGATAGGCTGAGAGGGCAAGTAGAACATGATTGTAAAGAGGCAATCCAAGAAGGGTGGATGGCAATTGTAAGGTGGTTGGAACGGGGATACAAGAACGTGGCGCCTAAAGCCGGAGCCTGGGTGTTGCTGTTCGGTGGCATTTGGGTGTCAATGAAGGGAACATATGCAATATCGCAGCATATACCAATTGCTGATATGCAGTTGGGTTTGGGCTGAGTGGCCAGGCTGACGTGCAATAGAAGAGATGAAGAAGTACAGTCACTCGCACGCCGCCTTCCCGGGCCCGCCTCCGGGTACAAAATCAAGTCCGGTACTTTACCTTAACCTCCCGCGCTTTATTTGGACATTCTCCCCCACATTTCCCACACCCTTCTCACCCACCAATATGAAGTGAAACTTGTCGTCCCACTTGTCACATCCTCTGCCACACCCGGGGATGAAGAAGTAGTCAGCCCGGGCGGGGTCCACCTCCCTCAGACCCATGGAAATGATCCGCTCCCACACAATGATGTTCAGGGGACGGTCCAGCCACAACATCCCCCTGACAGCAGGGGGCGAGGGGGGCCCCGGGGCCGGGCGGAATGTTGGGTGGCGGAGTGTGTGCGATAGAGAAGGGGTCCACGGCCGTGTATGTGAATGTGTTGAAGACGGGAAGGTCTCTTTCATTAAACCGCGTCACGTCCCAACGCCAGACATCGGGGTGTGTGTGTATGTAAGGGCTGGGGCAAGGTGGGAAGACGGATCCTAGCGCTGCTAGGCAGGGAAGCTCCTCCCCGTTTCCCCCCGACCTGCCCTCCCACACCCTCGCACGGTAGCCCTCCAGAGGGGTTACCCAGCCATACGGGGGAGCCATATAGTGCAACTGGCAGAGTCACCTGCTGACATCGATAATACCAAGCTGTTGAGGGTCACTGTCCAGGGTCCAATCCAGAGCGATGAGGGTCACTGTCAAACGGTGGGAATCATATGCTAGGAAATGAACTGCCGGCGTCAGAAATTCGAAACTGCTGGAGTCCTGTCAGGGTCCATGAAGTCATCGACCCATGGACCCCGCCAATGAGGGAAGGCCTCCTTACCCCACCTACCACATGTGCATGTATGGAGGGAACTCGTAAATGTAGATACGGGGTCCACGGGGATTTGCTCTGAGGGGGAGGGATCGGGTGAGCGGGGGATGGAGCGAACCGGAACAGAGGAAAAACAAGGAGGACAAGGACATACATGCGCACGCATGTACTTCATGTGCCACAACGCCCTGCTTGCCTTCTCACCCCTTTCCCTTTTCCTTCCGTGAGTTTCCTTTGGGTTAACGCCACGTCCCTCCCTAGCCCCACCACTCTTCCCTAGCCCCGTTTTGCAAGCATCATGTTTCCCGCCGACTACCCCACCAGCTCCCATATCTCCCGTCCCGAACCCACCCACTTACGTGTAATTCAGCCCCGCCAGCACTACCGTAGATCCCTTCCCCCTGCTCCCCGGCTCCGTGCCCTCGTAGTCGATGGACAGCGAGCAGTCCGCTCCAAAGTAGCCCGGGTAGCAGTGGCACACTCCCCCTACACACGTCCCCCGGTCGTTGCACTCGTTTATGCACCACTCCCTGATGATGCGGTGGCACTGTCCCTCGTGGTGGCAGTACTGGTGGCAGGAGGTCGCCACCGGGCTGGAGCAGTTGGGACCCTCGCGACCACGAGGGCACCCGCAACTGAGGGAGGGGGCAGAGCGGGGTTGCGTGGGGAAAAGGGGGGTTGTGAAAAGGGGGGAGTTAATGGGGCATTTGTGTGACTAAGGAAAGCCTAGATGCTGATTACCATTAAGCAGCACGGACTTCGACGTTATGAGCGAAGCACTAGCTTGCACGAGGCGTTAAGGGATTAGGCGAACCCGTACAAGATCCTTACCGGGATACGCATGATGGGCTGTGAACAGAGAGGGCAGGTGCGGACACACGCTACATTCACCCATCCTCTCTTCGCACTTCTCCGGCCTCTTACTAGCTCCTCGTTCGCTGAAGTGCCCTTACCCCCGGTACCTTACCTGAAGATTAGCGGGTGGCGGTGGCGGGAGTCTGCCCGCCCCTAATGAACACCTCACTATGCTAGAGCACTGCCCCTTCCTTCCGCCAAAACACTCACATTGCCAGCTCTTGGTTGCAAGTGCCGTACATGTGGCAGGTAGGCCCGCACTTGTCAAGTTCCGGTGTCCATCCGGGCGCGTGAGGAACCTGATTACGGGGACCGGGGGGAGGAGGACATGTTAGGGGATCGTCGAAGTGGGGTCGGGGTGACGGGTGAGGGGGCAGAGGGATGAGGTGAGGTCCGGACGAGGCGACAGAGCGGTCGGGATGTCGGATATCAGGAGAAGTGGTGCGGGGATCCACCGCAGGGTTGGGCAGTGGGCCGCAGAAACATGGCCCCCCGTTCATCCACCATAGTCAAGTCATATCGGAGTCATTTTTGAGCCAGCGGTTTTCCCTTCATACCGCCGCACCGCCCCAAATAAGGGCATTCGAGCCACGACGTCGCCAATACCCCGACAAATCCCACTTCTTGGGCTGGTTGCCTCCCCTCGGGGCACTAGCGTTTCCCCCCTCACCCTGCAACCTCCCATCCAGCGTACCCCTCTCGACGCTTCACATCCGGTGTATTTTGCTTCCTGTCATTCATTCTTTTTCTTTTGCAACGTGACCCTCTTGTGGACCTCTTCGTTTCCCCCACGCCAGGAGCTCCCTCCTTCCCCTCACCTGCCCTTCACCTCCATCCCCGACCATTGCGATGGCCTGCACTGTCTCCCACATTCCTACTTGGGAGAACCAAGGCAGATGTAAACTTACATTAAACTCCGGCACCTAGACAGGCCGCCAAGTGCGCCTTATGAAGACTGTTCAATAGTCTACGGTCCTTCGCTCTCCTAGCAGGCAACCCCCGTCGACCGCTCGTGATTCGACCTTCATAAGCTTCCTCCCAACCATGTTTAATCTTCTTCACACGTGGGCTCAACACTTACTTATATTTTGGCTCATCCCTATTGAGACATTGCACACAACTGAAAGCATAGACTACTGCGGAAGTTGATATTGATTGCAAGTTTCCGTAAGTTTCCGACAGTCTTTTCCCCAAGCCCCAGGGCCCTGTCCAGCCTAACCCAGCCCAGCTGCTTCCTCTTAATCTCCCGCTTCTTGCATGGCTTCCCTCCCCACGGGGTCAGGCCAGGATCGGCTTGTTTCCCTCCTACATCTGCCCGCGGTGCCCCCATCTACAGCCCACCTTTGTCTTGCTCCGCAGGTAGTAGTAGATGTCCAAAAAGTCCTCGTCGGTTTTGGGGAGACCCCAGGACCGGCCCGCGGACGCAACCCGCCGCTGGTACTCTTGCACGTGCCGTTCGTACGTCGCCGTAGGCCAGTGGCCGTACTGCAATGCAACGCGTCATCAACAAACAGTTGCTGCAGCCCACGTGTCGTGTCGCAGCAAGGCACATGGCATTGTGCGATAGTGCGTACGACAGCAAGAGTGCACGTGTTTTGTGAAAACGTACAACTTCTGACGATGGCAGTGAAGTATGTGGGGTCGTGCGCCAATCAAGACGACAGCCATAGGCCAAGCGCACATGACTGAATTCTGGACCTATAAACGTATCCGTACAAGTGCCGATAGCTGCAGCAGCGGCGGCAGCAGCAGGAGTAGCGCAAGCTTGATATGTGAGCAGGGGGTGCACACCCGACGGGACACCCACCGGCAACTTCCCCTGCTCCCAAGGAATTCCCCTTGCCCATGGCGCAACAGCCTAACCCTGTATCATGCATGCAATGATACTATGCCCGTTTACCATTTTCTGCCAGTATCTGAATATCTCATCCATGTTAAGGTCACGCGTGAGCATTCGTCGGGCGTTCCGTTGGTTTGCGCTCTTCTCCAAGCCCCAAAGCTCCTCAAAGTAATCTACACAAAAGAGAGTTGTTACGATGATCACGCAAAACGGAAAGATTCCTTTGGGCGTTGGCAGGACCGCCCAAATGTTTCAACTAAGGCATTTATGCGCGCACCATGATTTGAACCCTCTGCATACGCTATAAGCATCACCAAGATAAAGATGCACGGCGACAACCAGCGCTGAATTAGTTTCATTCTTGTCGGCGAGGCAACCGTGGTCACGGCACAAACAATTCGCATACGAAACTGCTATACATGCTAGGAGGACGTCAGAAGGTTCATCACTTCTCAAGATCGCGAGCTTCCTGCCTTGCAATTTGAACGAGTTACAAATAAATTCGCTGCTAGCCAAAACTATTTGCTCTGAGGATTTATCGTAGGGATGAAAATGAATGAAATGTTGATGGTAAGGTACCTTTGATAGCTAACGGCAAAGGCATCTATGCCAAAACATGGAGATGAGGAATTGTATCGTATCGTATATTACATGTCGTACTTACCGTTGGCCAGCAACATGTGTTCCCCCAACGGTTCCGTCAGGGGTTTAAACTCAATTTTGAAGTCTGAGGTAATCTGAAGTAGAAATGTTACCGTAAAATAATCTTCCGCGCTCTATGGATTTGCACCGGTAGGCTTCCCGGCTTCGTCGCTGAGGAAGCCCGATGATGACGTATAGGAACCCGAAGAAGCCGGGGTCTCGGGTGCTTAGGGCACTTCCCGGCGCTGCACCCGGACCTGGATGAAGAGGGGAAGGTCAATTTCAATTCGTCAAACCCGACTTATCATGGAAACGTTGGAGGAGCGATTTGGATATGACTGGCAGAACCCACCTCTTAAGACCTCTTATCACTATACCCCGGGAATTTGTGTCGGACAACCGTAAACCAGGGGTTAAGGTGGGCCGACATACCCATTGGATGGGAACGCACGACGTGCTACATCCCTGCGAAGTCATGCTTGTCACAGCTGCGGTTTCGCTTAGGGGCGTGGCCTTTGGAGGTTAACCGACCCGGCGGTCGGTCGCGCCAAGAGCGCTGGTGCAGGGTCTATGGCAACAAAAATGCAGTCGCAGGTGAGTTTCACGTATTGCTAGAGTGTCCCGCGTACAACGACCTACGGAAAGGGCTTCTCAACCTAGGCGTACGCCAGGCTGATATCGAGCCCGAGCCTAGTATGAGGTCTGTCATGGAGATAGATGATCAGCGCGGACTTGTGCAGATCGTACACAACTTCTGGATGAGGCGACGCATGCTGATCTATCCGAGTAGTAAGCCTGAGGTCGCTAGTTACTGATTTCTCTCGCAGATGGGGTTCATAACCCCTTCTTTTCTTTTTCTTTTTTGTTTGTTTTCTCTTTTTGACTACACTATAAGTCGCGGTCCATGAGCCTTCTGGTTCGTCTGGGCATCGTCGGAACATAACATAGCATAACGTCATGGAAAAGGATTTCTGACGGCAAATTATTGTCAACCTGATACAGGTATTATTACGTACCTTGTTTTTCCTGTAACTATCGTCATTGGTGATATCGTGAAGGAGTTGTTGACCGTTGTATAACTGAACGCACCTGGTCATTGATCAGTTCACTGCGCCAAGATAGCAGTAGCTCCTTTGTATAAGTCTGAGATGTGTTTTATGCATGGTCACGCGGCACGAGGTGTTCAGGCTGCGCCAAGGACGCTATAATTTTCCGTTGCTCACTAGCCCTCTGCTTAAGCTTTAAACAATTTCACAGTAACACTATCTGGCTCAGCATAACATTCCAGGTGCGTGTCCTTGCCGCAAAAGGCGATCGTCGCTGCTTAATTACTTGGCCGGTCCAGGCCGATTAAGTCACTGGATGATTCAATGTCGAATAATCTGTTGCGAATTTCTTCCGTGTATTCCAGCGCCGGGGTTGGTCCAATAACGCAGCCCCGGCCCTTCCTTACCTGTGTCGGGTTGTAGATTTTACAGTACCCCAGATCTCGGAAGCTCTCGAGGGTTGCGTTTGGCTTCGGCCAGAGATTTGTCCCTCCCTACTGGTGTGTTCAGCGCGTCAGCAGCTTCGCTGATCCCTCCTGCGCTCACCGTCCACTTCCTCGGGCAGTAGTGGCAGCAGCGGCAGTGCAGGTGCCGCAGCTGCCTCCGCCGCTTTGACGCAGGCAGGCCGATCTCCGGCGTATGAGCAGGACGGAGTACGCCGCCGTTGCCGCTACAACCACGACCGGCGATGCTAAAGCCGCTGCTGTTAGCGACCGCCGCCACCGCGACCGCGGCGCTGACGGGGCCTCAAGCCCACCACCACAACAGACCAGGCGGCGTGTAGGGGTACGGGAAGCCCCCGAGGAGTCCCCTGACGATCACACCACTTCCCACAGGACAGCGATCAGCAGTAGCAGCACTAGCGGCAGCAGCACGTATGGGAGCAGCAACATACGCAGTAGCAGCGGGTCCTCGTACATCACAACGGACACCACCAGCATCAGCAGCGCTAGTACCATGGAAACCAAAGCTGAAGCTGCCACCAACGGCGGCTCCCAGCGTCAGCAGCCCGGCGTTCCTGACGCCGTCCCTGCCGCAGCTGCAAAGGTACGCACTACATGCACGCGCGCACAGGGTATCAAAGCCGCAGCTGCCACGGCTGCGGGCCCCGCCGCCAACGGCACTTCCAAATCTGCTGCTGCCGGAGTAATTGCGCCCGGTCAGGCTGAGGCCAAGTCCCTTGCAGCCAGCGGTTCAGGGGGAGCTCCTGTGACGGAAGTTAGCGATGTGATTATGATTTGCAGCAGCAGCTCTAGTGAGGGGGTTGAGGAGGTGGAACGGCGCATGGCCAAGGAGAAGCGGTTGCCCATCCGTGGCGCTCGTGCTGCTGCCGCCGCCGCCACTACTGCTGCTGGTGCTGCTACACGTGGTGGCAAGAGAAGGGGCAGACGCAGTGGCGGTGATACTGCCGGTGTTGCTACTGCTGGTGATGGCGGGCACGCACCGGCGCGTTCCGTACTGCCGTACAGACCTCTCACCGACACGGGCATGGGAGTGCTGTACGACAATCCCCGGGCATGCGTACCTCTGCCGGAGCAGCACGTGCGGGAGTGGTTCCCCGGGGCCTTCTACCGGGGGGACATCGCCAGGACCTCGGGGGGAACGCATACCCACACGGACATAGACACGGACTCGCATGGTGATGTGGAGTCCAGTGATGGTGATGCCACTGAGGGTAAGGGCGGCCGGCAGCTGCGCAGCGGTGGAGGCGGTGGCAGCTGTCACCGTAGCAGCCGGCAGCGGGAGGCGAGGGCGGGCGGCATCAGCCTGAAGCGACCACGACGGGTTTGGTTGGGGAGTCCCAAGAGGTTGCATCTGAGCATCGAGCTGGTGGGGCGGGATGGCCGGGACCCCCGATACAACCGGGTGCGGGGACCCCATGAGGCAACCATCAAGACCAGTCGAGGGCTGGAGCCATATAGCCTCATGTGCGTGCGTGTACGAGGTATACGGGGCCCGACATGTATACGGCAACGTGTGGCGCAAGGTGTTGTGAACTAGGGCCTGGAGGGAGGTCGGAAGGACCCCATCACCCGGGGAGGACGAGTAGGCACGGTATCTGAGGAGTCGGGGTACAGATTCAAGGGTCCTAGCTAGCTGTGGCAGCTAACCCACCCTTCCTTTCCTTTTGCAACCTCAACGAGCTCTACATGCCCACCACCACCATCATAACCGTGTGTGCCACACTACACCTCCTAATAACCCCCAGGGGTTTCCCTGGCTCCCGTCACCAGTTCCGACGTCTATGTGTTCCTGGGCTGCTAGTCCGCATGGCACGTGTGTGCCGCCCTGCCCACATGAGGATTTCGCGGCTCTTGCTGCTAGGGGACCTTGTATGCCTGGCGTCGGTGTCGGGAGACCCCCGAGCCCCTCCTCGCCTTCCGTTGAAGTCCCGACCCTGCTGCATTGGTACCCCCCGACCTCCCCTTCACGCAACCCGCGGACCCGCACTCTCGCTCCCGCGGCCCCACCCTGTCTCCCCCTCCGCTCCTCCCACTCCTAAGGCTGGACCGCAGAGTGCGTGAGGAGCTGTCCGGGTGCAGACTGCTGGGGTACGGGGGGCAGCCGGGACCGGAGCCGGCAAGACGCAGCCGCTGGAAGCCCCGTGCGGCTGGGGTGAGACTGTTCGTGCAGCCGGAGAGTTCAGAGGAGGCGGTTGCGGAAGCACTCCGGGACGCGGAGGAGGAGGAGAGAGGGAAAGAGGGTGGCGTGCTGAAGCGACGTCAGGGAAAGCGAACGCGGCAGGAGAGTGGCTCCGAAGATGAGGAGATGCAGGACGAGGTAGAGGACGGAGAGGAGGAGGAGGACGATCGTGAAGGAAGGGGTCGGAGGCCGGGGCTAAAACCTTGCAGTGATCGGACGGGTCCTGCAGCGGCAAAGGCACAGGTGGAGACGTTTCCGGCCTCGGCGTCAGCATTGCCAAGTCATGGACCGCGGGGACCTCCCGCTCACAGAGGCCGCCGAGCTTTGACAAAGGTTGAGTCCGTCGTCTCGCCGGCACCAGAACCAGAGGACAAGGAAACAAAGAAGGAGCATAAGGAGGAAAAGCAGCAGCAAAAAAATGTGGACCATCAGGGCGGCAAGGCAGCGATAAATTTGCTGGCAGCTCCTCCCCTACCCCCACTCCCACCAGTCAAGCGACCCGTGGGTCGGCCAAGGAAACATCCCAAGAAAGTGCCACAGGCAAAGCCACCGCCACCGACGGCAGCAGGCGCCTCAATCCCAGAGAAGGCCGATCGGAAGGGCCCCGCCACCGCGGCCTCGTGCCTGCCAGGAGCCCTCAACGAGCGACCAGCACCAGGAGCGATGTCAACAAGGTCAGGTACAGGTGCTTTGACTCCAGGGAAATATGCAGCACAAGAGTCACCGGAAGCAGCAGCAGCACCGCCTGCAGATGGCCCGACAGTGGCGGTGGCTTCCAATGAGGCAGCGGCAACATGGGAGGGAGCCGCTCCACCTGTGAAAGGGAACATCACTTCCCCTGCCGTTGCAATACGTATTGCAGGCGCTAAGTCCGCTATAGCCCCGATGAAGCAGGAGCACATGCTCCTAGACCAGCAGGGCAGTAAGGACCTCTGTTGCGGCGGCGGGATGGTCGGGGGCCCCACTGCAGCAGGGCTGCAGCAGGGGACAAGTCCCGTGCCAGATGGGGGGCTTAAGACTGGCTCCGGCCGATTACTATCCCAGCAGGAGCAGCAGCGACAGCAACAACACAAGCAGCGGTTAACTCCGGACGCCCGGGTGCGGGGCCGGTTGGGACGAGCGGCTGGCCACCCTTCTGCCAGCCTGCAGCAGCAGTGGCGATCCTGCGGCACCGTGAAGTTGTACGAACAGTCCATAGCAGCTGCTGAGGGCACGGATGATGCCCGCGGCGGCGGCAGCGATGGCATGCTGGAGGCTGCTACAGTACCCAGCTGTGGCGGGGACGCTGGGGGTGCGGGCCGAGGATCGAGCGTCATGATAAAGGAGGAACAGCGGTTGCCTCAGGCGAGCAGGCTGGGACCGGTGGAACCAGAGCCGGGCGTTTCCAGGAACGCCGATACTGGCGCTAATGTTGACTCGACAACTGGCGCTGCTGCTGCTACTTCTATTGAGGCTGCTGCAGCAGGTGGATTTAGGTTAGGAGCAGCAGTCCAGGGGCAAGGGGTGGCAGCTGGGGCTAGGTCTGAGGTGCGGGGAAGCCGCGGTCTGGAAGGGGCGTCTCGGGGGCATGTCGAGCGTGAGGCGCCCTTGGTGCGTCCAGCCGCAGAAGCCGCACCCAGCGTGCACCGGGCTTCTGGAGGGAGGTTCCCGAGCGGCCCCTCCAAAGAGGCGGGCCCGGTGCAGCCCCCGACCTCAAATAGGGCCGCTAAGGGGAGCGCGACGACTGCTGGTGCTGGTGCGGTCGGGCAGGGGTCTGTGGCTTGCGGTGAGGAACGTCCAGTGGGTGGGGTGGGTGCTGCGTTTGTGGGCACTGATACCGGCAGCGGTGCCTCAGTACACCAGCTCAGGCAGCAGCAGCCCCATATGGCGCCGGCGCGGCAGCAGCAACGACAACCGCAGGATGTAGCACCCGCAGTGCAGGGTGGACGGAAACAGGGCAGTGACAGGCAGCAGCCACAGCCACCGTTGAAACCGGCAGAGGTGGCGACACCGCCTGGGCCAATTAGCACCAGCACTGCTGTGGCTGCTGCTGCTGCTGCTGCGACGTCGGCGCCAGGTACTGCAAACCCGCCTACAGTTGTCACTGCCACCACTACCGCTGCTGCTCCTCCTTTGGGACCTGCGAGGACAGCCGCTGGGGAGCAGGTCTTGCGGGGCCCCGGTGCTGGTCATGGTGGCGGCAGCACCTCGACGTCTGGCGGTGTGGAGCGGCCTGGATTCCTCCGGGGTTTGGAGCCAAAGAAGGCTGCGGTGGCTGCACCCGTTGCGGCTGTTGCTGCTGATGCCTGCCATGTCCCCTCCACCGCCGGAACCCCGAACCGGGCGGCACATGGAGCAGGCTCCATACCGGGCACAGGTACCGATAAGGCTGCTACAGCGGCAGCTGTAGCTGTGGCTGCTGACCAGGCGCTACCATCAGCCGGGCCGCCGTGGTGTTCGGTGCTTTCTCGCACTGCTCAGGAGAATGATGGACCTCCCCCTCCCCCGAGGAGTGACAGTGCTGCCCACTGCGGCAGTGGCGGTAATGGTCGGGGTGGGGATGGTCCTTCCAGTGCTGCTGCTGGCACCAACGGCAGTTGTGGCAGTGGTGGTGGGGATGGTGGCAGTGGTGGTAATGACGCCATCGCGTGCATCCAGTCGGAGGTCCGTGAGGCGCTGGCTTCTGCTTGCCGGCTGTCCCTGGTGCTTCACTCCTGCCTGCAGCGGGCCCTGCCCCCCGGTGAGCAGCTGTCTGGGCCCCTGGCCGCCCTGGAGGACTGCCTGGGGGACATGAGGAGGCTGCTGGGGCAGTCAGTGGGGGAGGAGCAGCGGCAGCGACCAAGGGGGACAACCAACAAAGATGACAACACAGCAGCGGCCGGAAGTGGAAGGGTAGGTGGCGAGTGTGGTGGTGCTGGTGTGATGGTGGGCAGTGGGTCTTCCTGCTGGCCGGCGGCCTCATGGCTGCGGCGCTGTACCCTACTGGGTGGTGTGACCCACGGCGATGGTGGCGGTGGTGGTGGAGGTGACGGGGAAGGGCAGGTGCAAGGGGAGGAGGGCGACGGGGAGGAGGTGACACCGGAGGCGGTGGCGGCGACAGCATGTATGAATGTGGTGGGGCAGCGGTTCTACACGGCCAAGTTGTTGCGGGTGTGGTACGAGGGCATGGTGCGGATGGTGCTGGGGATTGGGGCAGACGGGGCCTGCGTGTGCAGGGAGGGTGGGGGGGAAGTGGAGTCGGGTGGGAAGGCGGTGGCAGAGGCGGGGTTGCGGCTTGCGGAGCGTCAGGGTCAGATGTTACTAGGGGACGCCAGATTGCTGAGGCGGGCCCTGATGAGGGCGGAGGCAGAGGCCCTGGCCTGCAGGGGGTTGTGGGGCACTGGGGGCCCAGTGGGGCCCAGCAACTGAACTGGCGCTGCTGGCCAGGGGGGTGGGAAGTTGATTGCTAACGAGAGGGGAATGGAAGCACAGTACGAATCCGGAAGGGGAGGGGAAATGCACGTAGAAGGCGAGGAGTCATACCGAAGTGCTATAGTCTAAAATGATGAGGTCACTGCATAGTGGTTTCGGAAGTCAAAAAAGATACATTATTAGCATGTGTGTTGTGATGTTGTTGTCTGATCTTGTGAGGCTGTCCTTGTAGCGCATGAGGTACAGCGTCCTGTAGGCGAGCTGTCCCTACTGAAATGTTGTCCTAGTAGTAGACCTCGTGAAAAGAAATTTGATGAATCGACCAAGCTGCTGGCTAAATTGTCACAACATCAAGTACTGCATGCGAGCTATGCCTGGCCGCTCAGCTTGTGAAGCAACGAGGGGAGGGGAACGGGACGGTGAGGAGAGGAAGCGCGCGGGGTCAGCAAGACCTAACCGCGAGCAGTCGCCGTGGGTGGGGAGGTAGGGTGTTGTGTTCGGGCGTTAGCGAATCAGTTTGGTATCAGGTAGAGGGTAGAGGCACGAAGGCAGGCGCATGATGAGGTGTTTGGCGGCCGAAGCATATCTGCGTGTGCGTGTGATTGCGAAGGCTAGCTAGCCCGGTCAGGTCTGGTCTGGTCAGTAGCTTGAGAGCTTAGGTAGTGTATGTTGTCAGAGCTGCACAGTCAGTGACGGAGGACTGCAATAGAGGAACGGGTACAGGCACTGCAGGAACCTGGGTTGGGTATCAGCCTCCTCCGAGGGGTTCGGACCTCCCTGGCTGCTGTGAGTGAAGGAAGAACATGGACTTGAAACTGGGAGCGAGGGGGTCTTCCCCCTTATTAGCGGTTACATGATTTCATTACCTGCTAGCGATGGCTCCGGCCCCTTGGCAACACCAGGGCGGCCACCTCACCTAACTGCGCGTCAGAACTTCAGAAGACCTCACATGTGTAGATCTGGAGCTGGCGCCTTGCCGGTATTGGACCCTGCGGGCGCCGTCTCTGTACAATGCACCCCACTGTGGGTGCCGTAACCCGGTTCCGTTGATGAGGGCAAAGCGATTGCCCTCGTGCCTCAGGATGGTAAACGGCTCGTTGACATACGCTGCTTTCCGTCCTCAAGGTGCCCTTGCGCAGTGCACCATAGGCTGTCTCAACCACACGATATCCACTTCCAACGCAATGGCCCTGTCCTACCATGTCGACGTTATTACCGAACACCGCGAGTGGGGTCGTTCCCTCAAGGCGTCCGCTTTGGGGGCTCTTATTAATACAAGGAAAAGGCCGAGTCTAAGTGTTTGTTTTAGGCCGCGGTTTCGTGACCGATATTGCTGTAGCAAGTCTGAATATTGATTTATGAGCATTGCGAAAAGAAATAGCAGGGTGTATGGCCGTAGGTGCCTATGCTGCTGCCTGTGTTGCGGACACCCGGCTACTACAATACGGTTCTTGTACCCCCAACGTGATCTGTCGTGCCAAAGAAGCGCCTATCCACCGTGTAGCTTCGGTTAGGTGTGGCATGTTCCCCTCTTCGCTTCAACGTGCAACTGTAGCAGCTGGCCGCAGACAAGGCCTTTCGTAATGCTGGGAACTCGCTTTAGCGCATATGTGTATTAAGGATGTGTGCCGTACCTCGTGATAGCCTGTGATAACCTGTCTAGGCCCACAGGGCCAGATCAGTCGAATGTAATACAGTGGGAAGGGCCTGGGCCTGGGAGGGGCTGAGGGCTGGCGGGCTGAGACAGTAATTAAGCGAGGCCTACAGCCAAGCAGGTCTACCGTACAGTGGCGATGCTGCCGTATCACTCCAGCAGGGCTTACAACCCACCCAGTCAGCTCAGTCAGGCCGGAGGGGCCCACAGCCTGTGGGCCACAGGTCATGGAGATGCAGTGCAATATCCTAGTACAACGTAGTAGCCTGCCTGTAGGGCCTCATACATGCGTGCATGCACACCTGTATTCCTCGTGGCTAATTTCATGTAAGTTCTAAGTGCTGGGTAGGACGATGTGTGGAAGGGGAGCACGATATGCCGGGAAGGATGACGTGGCATGCGGCGCCGGGGGAGGACAAAACGGCGGATACAGACATACTTATGGAATGCGAGAAAGCACTTGCTGGGAAGGGCGGCGGAGCTTGCAGATGCGCAGGTAATGCTCAAGGGTTATGTTGGCAGCATGCAGGAGGCTGCCCAAGGCTGGCGGTTAAGGGCGTCGAGTATGGACTGAAACCAGGGCACGCGGGGAAGGAGCTGCCCAAGCTCTGACAGCAGGTGCTCTGCTGTGAGGTGTCAGGGAGGCAAGCAAAGACACTAAGCACGGATGGGATTATGCGCATGGATGGGATTGTGAGTATCGGCAGGGGGGCAGGCGCTTGACACAATAGGTGAGGGTGAGGGTAAGTGGTGGAAGGCGGTGTGGTTGGCCACCCACCCCAAAGTTGCGTGTTTGGGGTGCGTGGCCAACACCCAACCTTCTTTTGTAGCAGGTTTCCCAGGGGTGCAGCCGCCAAGGCATTAAACTTAGGAGCACAACTTGGCCGCATGTACGGAATTGCAGGCACAAGGCCCTTCTAGGCAGGCAGTGCCGATCTAATCACCGGATGTCAATGAAAGGCCATCCCATGCACCACTCCAACTGTTGCAACTGGCCGCTGAAAATGCCTCTACAAATGCTGACAGAGCGCCTTAGCGCGTATTTATAGACGGTATGTGTGCCGTACTATGTGAAGCTACTACACCATTGCCAAATACAGAAGTACGGAGGGCCCGATGCCAACCCCGGATATCACACCAGGACGAGACAGTCCGAGTTTGGCCATTCCAGCACAGAATGCAGAGCCAGACAACAGATACCAACTAAGCTTTATTAAGACAGGTTACAGAAAATAGACGACTAGAAAGACTAGAGAAAGTCGAGGTCCAAATCGCTTGACAAGTGATGTTAGATTGCTTTTATCTTTGGTTTTGCCTACAATAGGACGCCGTCTCTTATATATGAGAAGACAACAACAACGGCGACGCGAAGATCGACATTGCGGGCCGACGGCATCCATGCAAGTAAGTGAAGCGCGCGGGCACCGCGCGGGTGGTTGGGTTGGTTCGGCCTTGAGTAGAGGCACCTGAACAGCGGGCTCTGTTGCTTGTCGGTGGGCGGGGTGAATTCTAGTTGGGTTCGCGAGGTCCGTAGGTCAGTAGAAAAGGTGGTTTTATCTCGGCCTCCCGCAGTTGGCGAGGCTTTAGCTGGGAGCCCGTTTTGCCGGGAGTAGCTCTTGGTTGACAAGTTGTTGCGGGGGGCTTGGTCGGCGCCCTTTGTCTTGAGTTCGCCTGTTTTACCCTGGTATCCTCGCGAGTCGCCAGATAGCCCGGTGCAGGATACTTACCAACATAACAGCTACCCTACGTGCGAAGGCGTAAGGAACAACGAGCAAAACAGGCATACAGGATGGCGTCAAGAAATCTGCAAGCAAACGAAAGTTGAAGTCAAGACGCGCGGACGGACCCGGAGTCTTCGGACCTGTGGACGGGCTACAGCTACATCAGAAAGCCGCCGCGGCGGTCCGCTAAGTGCGGCACAAATGCATGACAAGCGGCTGCGGAAGGCAGTGCGCTTAGGAAGCCCGCCGCGGCGGCACGCCGAATTGAAGGCGTTGATTTAGGAGCATATAGACAGCGGCCGCGGAAGGCGGTGCGCTTGTAGAAAAGCCGCTGTGGCGGTCCGCTAAGTGCGGCACAAATGCATGACACGCGGCTGCGGAAGGCAGTGCGCTTAGGAAGCCCGCCGCGGCGGCACGCCGAATTGAAGGCGTTGATTTAGGAGCACATAGACAGCGGCCGCGGAAGGCGGTGCGCTTGTAGAAAAGCCGCTGCGGCGGTCCGCTAAGTGCGGCACAAATGCATGACACGCGGCTGCGGAAGGCAGTGCGCTTAGGAAGCCCGCCGTGGCGGCACGCCGAATTGAAGGCGTTGATTTAGGAGTATATAGACAGCAGCCACGGAAGGCGGTGCGCTTGTAGAAAAGCCGCTGTGGCGGTCCGCTAAGTGCGGCATGAAGGATGCTACGAAGTGGGAGCCTGAACGCCTGGCAAGGATGCTGGAATATATAGGGTCTCACCGCAACTCTATTGTTCCCTTTGGCCGTAAGTATACTTCATCACTTGTCTCGTTGGAAGTGCGAGGTAGGATGGTGCTTATAGGCGATTTGGCAGCCCTTGAGCCCTCGGCTCGTACTAGGGTGGTTTGCAGGTACGGGGAACGCACCCACGACCATGTAACAACAACAACAAGTGCGGCACAAAAATGCATGACAAGCGGCTGCGGAAGGCAGTGCGCTTAGGAAGCCCGCCGCGGCGGCACGCCAAATGGAAGGCGTTGGGATTTAGGAATATATCGACAGCGGCCGCGGGAGGCGGCGCACCTGTAGAAAAGCCGCTGCGGCGGTCCGCTAAGGGCGGCACAAAATGCATGACACGCGGCTGCGGAAGGCAGTGCGCTTAGGGAGCCCGCCGCGGCAGCAAGCCGAACTGAAGGCGTTGATTTAGGCGCATATAGAAGGTGACAGCGGAGGGCGGTACACTTGTAGAAACGCCGCTGCGGCGGTCCGATAGTGCGGCACCAATTGCAGGATAAGAGGCTGCAGAAGGCAGCGCACTTAGGAAGCCCGCCGAGGCGGCACACTGAACTGACGGCTTTGTGATTTAAGAGTGTGTAGATGGCGACCACGGAAGGCGGCCCGCTTGTAGAAAAGCTGCTGCGGCAGTCCTCGGGGTGCGGCACAAAAATGCATGACAAGCGACTGCGGAAAGCAGCACGATTAAGAAGCCCGCCGCGGCGGCACGCCGAACTGAAGGCGTTGTGACCTAGGAGGATATAGATAGCGACCACGGAAGGTGGTGCGCTTGTAGGAAACTGCTGTGGTGGTCCGCAAAGCGCGGCACAAATGCATGATGAGCGGCGGTGAAAGGCAACGCGATTAGGAAGCCTGCCGCGGCGGCACGCC